GAATCGAAAGAGATTGGTGTCATCGTGTCTCGATGAGTGTACGCGGAGGAAGAAGCTTTCAAAAATGATCATAAAAGCCTTTTGCGCGTTGCGGCTACAGTAATCTAGGCTTCATAAGACAAGATGGCTTTGTACTCTGTAGTCTCTCTCTCGTTATGGATGAAATGACTAATAGGAAGTCGGAAGCAAAAGTATATGCCAACTTCAGAAGACTACCTTATCATCCTTAACTAAGGATTGTTACAGGGATTCAGAATAGTATGTCTCAAATCTGTAAAATCATCAATTCAAATCAGAATCATTCATACCTCTATCTCACTACACTAAGTATGAATAGCCCTTGTTGTTATCTTTCCATCCTTCTAAACAATTGGGAGCACAAACAGAGGCTTTGAGAACTGAACAAGACCGAGTTGGTGAGAGAAAAAGAGGAGAAAAAGTAGATGTTAGGAAAATCAGGCACGGATGTAGTGTCCCCATCAACCAGGAGATGAGTGAAACGATTTCCAAATGTATCAGGACTAACCGGGAAGCTTTCTACAGTTTAGGTGACTTCACTGGTTTTAGACGATGACATAGAACGTGAATACTGAAACAATGACATCGTTTTGTTAACGATCAGTATGTTCATGCAGAACCCAGAGGCTGTCCCAGTAGCTGGAATAACTACTACAGAATTGCTGTCAGAGATATGAACCTTACAAGCATCTGAAGGTTACAATAACGCTACAAACCATCCGGAATTCTGCCTCGGACACTCAGCCTAATCTTGAGAAATAAAAACAAGTATTTGAAACTTGATAATCCTACAAGATAAACTATCTCCATCAGTACATACTGATTCAAATCAAGCATAAGACCAACAAGAAAAATAAAATTTTATTATTATATGAGTTAAAATAGGAATAGGAGATCACAAAACGTTTCAAATTCAATCAAGGAAACTGTTTCCCTGTAACTTAGAATTGAATATCTATACTTGGGAACAAAACAATCAAGTCGATTTCAGGATATCTTTTTCACTTCTTTTCAGCTCTTCATCCGATAAGATCCGATCTAAAAGCTGTCCTGTTTGATCAAGAGCAATCTGCAAGAGAGTTAGTAGTCTTAGATACTATCTTCAATGGCTACCTGTTTTATAACAGGTTTTAATACTTCGGTAACAGTATTTGGTCTGTCTTCGTCACCGTCTTTAACTTGCTGCGAAGCATCTCGCATCGGTGTGAATGGAGCAATTAACCTAGAGAGGAAGTTCGGCTGTACTCTTGGGAAGAGTGGATGTAGAATTGATAAATCAATTTCGTCGGTCATCATTGGCTGAAAATATGAAAAGTTATATATCTTTTAATTGAAACTCACGTTCATTGGAGTGGTAGGTGTTGGTGCTGTACTCCAAATAGAATTTTCAGAGCTATACTGGTTCGCAACATATTCCATAGGTTGAATAGGTATTATAGTAGGAAAGGTCGTTGTCATTACATCAGCTAAGAGGTCTTTGGGGAAATTACTCAAAGACTCAAATAAGCTGTTCCTACTCTCTTTCACTTCTTTTCCCAAGTTTAATCTAAAAAAAACCAATCAGTGATTATTGACTGTTTTTCATACCCATTGCCATGCCATGAGCCAAATTCATTTTCATGCGATAACTTGGGAATGATGACACGTTGGTTGGGATCATAAATAGTATTTTGAATCAGTTGATACTTCTGCAGAATGAAGAGATAAATAAGTAAAGAAAATATTGAGCTACGTCTTGGAGTTTTTCACAACGAGCTAGTTCGTGGATGAAAACTAAAGAATCTGGACAAAACCGTTCGGTCCAGCGTCCACGTCTCCCAATCATTGGTGTACATTGCAGATAAGCTGTGGGGTTGCTGTAAAAATAAATTGAACGGTGGCAATAGAGAAACTGTAATACTTTGGGTGTTCGCATAAAGGGTCGTCATCATATGAAAATGGACAGTCGGCATTAATTATGCAACCTGTTAACACTCGTGGAATGGAAGTAGGTTGTGCATGCTAAATTGAACATTTGTAATTACTATAGAGCAAATTATATCCAACCTCTACTTCCGAACTGGAATCAGGATCGATAGATATCCATTGTACAGGTGGCCTCCAAGAGTTTTCACTGGTCGTCCAACCTTTCATTGGCTCTGTAGGTTGTGACAAAGTGGCTTGGGCAGGGGAAGGTGTTGTGAAATGGATGATGTTAGGATCAGCACTCAAGTCATTCCCTGTTTTAGAAAACCTTAAAAATGATAGTTCTTTGATATCTACTAGTCAGAATTACTTGTAGAAGGCTTGATTTCCAGGTAGAGAAGCTTGAGGGAATACCGGACGCTCCGGAATCGACTCTTCGGTTGAAGCTGGAAATGGCTTAGTAACGTTTCGGAAAATCAAACCAACCCATCATTTTGAATTGTTTCTCTTTTTCTAACAATGCTTGCATTTCTTGTCGCTCCTGTTCCATTTTTAACATGTCCTGAGCTGCCTTTTCCCGCTCAAGTTTTTCACGAGCCAGATGTTCCTTCTCTAACTTCTCCCTCTGTAAACGTTCTTGATCGTGCTTTTCGCGTAAGATTCGTTCTTTTTCTGCTTCTTCTTTTCGTTTATCCTCTAAGCGAGCCTTCTCTAAACGAGCAGCTTCTTGACGAGCTAGCTCTAGCTCCAGCATTTCTCTTCGTCGCTGTTCCTCTTTCCTTTGATTTTCTAAATTCTGAAGTCTCTCCTGTTCTTCTTGACGTTGTTTCTCCAGTTGATATCGTTTCTGTTGTTCTTCGGCTCGTTGTTGCTCAAGCTTTTCCTGGCGTTCCTTGTCTTCCAACTCCCTTCTTCGATGTTCTTGTTCAAGTTCTCTCAAACGACGTTCTTCTTCTACCCGAAGCTTCTCTACTTCCATACGACGGCGTTCTTCTTCTTGCGTTTTTTTCCTCTCTTTTTCCAGTCGACGCTCCGCTTCTAGCTCAATCTGTTGGCGACGATGTTCCTCTTCGAGCTGAACCTGACGAAGTTTTTCCTTTTGGCTTGATCGCTCAGCTTGTAACTCCATGATAAGTCTCTCTTTTTCCTTTTTCTCAGTTTCAGCTCTTAAACGTTCTTTCATCAGAGCTGCTTCCATTGCCTTTTCCTTGTTATGAGACTCACGCGTCTTCTCATAGTACTGTGGCTTCTCCTCGGTGTGCTTCTGTTTCAGTAGCGCTTGCTTACGTTGCTCAATGATTTCGAGTTCAGATGGAGAAAAAGAAACGGATGAGGATTTTTTCTTCTTATCATCAACTAGTCTCATGAGACGATCAATGAGATCCATTTCATTCAAATTCATTCCATTATATTTTACAGTATACTGGGGTTGTAGAGTAACCTCAGATGACTGGGAAGGCAGGCTAGAAATAGGTTAATTACTTCTTTAAGATATCAGAAACATACCTGACATATCTTGTGCTCTGCACGGGCTTAGTGTAACTGGCGGGGGTCGTAGTTACCCTATATTTCTGGCCTGGAGTTGTGAATGCTGGACTAAACGCAAGATCGTATTCAGAGACTCTACCTGAAATACGAAAATGCGTTCAAAATGTAAATTAGAAAACTTGACAAACCTGTAGTAGGAGCATAACTGGGGGTAGGAGCATAACTTGGGGTAGGAGCATAACTGGGTGGAGGAGCATAGCTGGGTGGAGGAGCAAGTGTTAACAACTCATTACTAGGATTGTAAGTAGCAGTTTCTTCATAAGATCCTTGAGATGAGTAAGCCGGAGTTGAGGTGTATATAGGAAGTTCCGTTGGTGGTGCAGTCGGTTTTCGAGTTTTGCCCTTTCCCCTGGGTCGCTTAGGTTTTCTAGTAGAGAAAGTGAACTCTTCTTCGATGGGAGAAGAGGCTTTGACAGCAACATTTTCCTGAAGAATATTTATAAGATCGGCTAAGAGCTGGTGAAAACTACTATTGAAGAAGCTGGTTTTCGCGAAACTGTATTAGTTTCAGAGGATTGTCGTTCCCTACAAACTTTATCAACAGGATGAAACGTCATACCAGGAGCACAAGGAACAATCCATACTCTTCCAGAAGGACCACATTGTTTATACCTGGACTCATTTTTTGTTTGATAAACCCAACTGTGTTTCTACTAACCTTGAAGGATCACCATTAACTATCTGTAAGCCGTAATGATCTCTTTCGCATCGTTCGGAGGTAAATATGACATCAGCATTCACTGCAAATATCAGAATACAAAAACACACAACCGTTCACACTTTGAAAAATGAAAAAATGGAAATCAGTTCGAGACTGAACTCAGAATATTCATTTTAATTGTTAACGCGACTCTACGTACAATTCTTGGAAATAATTTCCAGGAGTTTCATACGTGGGCTTCTTTCGATATTCAAATTTAACGTGAAATGTTTAATATTCAACTAATTTCAATGTTTATCGACTAATTAGTCAATTTTTTCAAAATCGTTACTTGACGTTCATTCTTTGTATGACGTCATTAGTCGAAAAACGGTTATTCGTGGCAGAAGTATATGAAAATTAAACTTGTCCTCTGTGATATGTACTCGTCAGTAAACTCTTCGAAGAAACAGTTTAAAGGGTTTGATTAGCCTTCAGATCGATCTGTCTAATGATTGCATTAATCTTCGAGGAGACAGTTCCTAACAACCACTTGTCAGTATGAACTGCCCAAAACAGTCAATATTTGCATTATTTCTCTATAACTGTAACAAAAACAAATTCATTAATTGATGTGGATGGCGGTAGCGATTCGATCACTTTGTATTTGCCAATTCCATAATCCAGTATCTATCTCTGATAGTTTGTGCAAGAAGAATGTTTCAGGAAGCCTTGGCTATGGCAAACCAGATGCATTCACATATAGACAATCAGAAGACATAAAATCTTGATTTCTCTATGACTATGTGAATAAATCAGGAAAAAAGTGTCAAATTAGCTATTTGCTCATTGTGAAGGAGAAATAATTTATCGGAAGTTGCATGTCGGAAGTTTTGAATGTTTCACATACAATTCCAATATGTTTGTTTTTCAAAATATGTCTTTTCAATGTTGAAAGATGATTTTTCGATTGAAAAACGATCAAAAGCCGGATAGTGAGGTTGCAGAACAAGCAAATATAAATATACGCATTGTAACAAATAGCTTTTGTAGAGGACAAAATATATTTCAATTCATCAACTTCGGAGAGGTATCAGAGAAATGAGCATCAATTGACCATCTAAAAACTGTAGTGGACGAAGGGTCATGTTTCCACTTATTTTGAACAATCGACTACATAGGCATGGTATAGGTTACAACAGGTTCTTTGTGCTTTTGATTAGACACAACAACCTGAGGCTTATATCTCTTTGGTCTTTCGCAGGTTGTCAATGATTCTGATGCGAAAAAATGAACTCAACGATTGAAAACGAAGAAAACAAGTGAGAAAATACAGAAAAAAAAGAGAAAACAAAGTATCTTACCTATAGTCACAACCAGGGACAGACAGTACAAGAAGTGTACTGCCGTTTGGGACATTCCACTCGTCTGTAATCTGTAAATGATTTGATGATGATTACAAGTAAGGTTAAGCAAAATTAAGATGAAGATCTTTCTGAAGTCTGAAGTTGACTCTCACAGAATGATAAATGAACTGGAAAAGCACGAACAGAGACACAAATCATGACCAAACAGTTGAGGTGGGAAGGAAGTCAGTAGGTGAGATAGTTTTTCCAATGCACTGACCACACGAATGACCGTCAAGCTGTCATTCGACTGTCACAGATCAGTCTGATCGAAAAATGTTTGGAAAAAAAAGAAGAAGAACAGCTTTCGAATGATTGAAGTTTCACAAGTTTTTATCTTCTCACCATATTCGGGAGAGCAAAAGAAGAAATCATTATTATGGTTAAAACGAGAAAGAGCAAAAGTACACGATTCAGGAAAATTCAGGATGAACTTAAGAGCCAAAAGATTGAGTGGGTAGAGAGTGAGCCAAACGATAGAGGCTAGTTTAGGTTCAAGAGCAAAACACAGGAAACATTATGATGGGTGGGTATGAGATGAAAAGGTTGTGCGCACCGCTGTATTGAATTTGAATTAGAAACAAGAAGCAGAAGACTGTTCAAAAGCTTGTCAACTTAGATCTAAAGATAGAAAAAGCTGACTCAATGACCTTATGAGGAAGAAGCTGTTCATCGAGGTTAATCAGGAGAATGATGATGGAGGGGATTCAGAAGAGACTTGTCTCGGCCCTCATACTGTCTCAAACTCACCATAGGATTCTCCTCATCTTCTACAATCTTTTTTCTTTTCTTTTATTTTTCTCGTTTCTCTCGTCTTGAGCAATTGTCTCTTGATGTCCACTTAGACAAACTTCTCCTCAACTCCGCACCTTCTTTTTATTGACAGTTGACTGCCACTTTGTTCACTGAAACAAACTGGTAAATGTTGACGTCAAATTAATTTATATCAATCTACGTTCGTGTCCTTTTAAGGAAGAAGATCATGTGTTCTTTTGCTTTCCCATTCATATCACTTATGAGCATATGGCCCCATCGCCTTTTGTCTTTCTGAACTTTTTCATTTAACAAAAGAACAATTGCCTTGTCTTACCCTGTGTTTCCTTCTCTGATTATAAGCCATTCTCATTTTTAATTTTTCAATTCAGTTTCAGAAATGAATACATCAAGAACCGTTCATTTCTATTCTTCGATCGCCTTTTTTGCTTCCCATCCGGAAACAAACGAATGCAGATCTGATCCAGCTCTAACCGGACTGAGACATTTCGAAACTAAACAAAACTTTTTTATCTCTTTTTTCTTCAAACATTATTGGAAAATAATAGCCAAAAATAATATGAAAAAGGAAAGGTGCAAGACAATAGAGAGATAGTATGATAGAGAGAGACAAGAGAGAAAGAAAGAGGATTGAAGAAGTTCTCTCAGAAGGAAAAGAAACAAAAAGATTAAAGAGAGAGCTGTGAAAGGATAGAGAGAGAGAGAGAAGCAGAGATAATAAAGACATAGTTATCTCAGTATCTTTTCACTCTATCTTATACAAAATGACCTGCTAGTTAGTTATTCTCAAGAAGTGTCAAGATAAAGATTGTCGGCTAACAGAAGGTCTTGTTTCCCTCACTAGGTCACATAATCTTCTCATAACTCTTGCTCGAGAATATAAAAATAACAAATAACAACGGATTATTGTGAGGTAGAAAAACTGTGGGAGTTCTATATCCATATGTTCTTTTGTAGATAAGATATAAACAAGCCATATATAGGTCTAAGATGGATTATAAGGATTAATTGATTGAGATCGAAGTGATCATTGAGCAAAGCAACCACAAACTATTTTGGCAAAAGATTTATTTGTATTATTTGATTTTTTTAGGTTTTTTTGTTGTTCTGTTATAAAGAATAAATATGATGATATAGATTTGTTGGCTAGCAGTAAGTCTTGGTTCCCTCACTAGGTATTATACTACGTAAATCGTGTAATTCCTGCAAATAGGAGGGGTATGATACAAACTACATCTTCATGTATGATGTACCTGTGTGAGTTGGTGAATATTGGCTTTGTTCATTTGATCTTGCTGCTGCCAATGATGATTCTCCTGTGAACAGAATGAAGATGAATATGTTTGGACGGCTGATATACTACCTGTCTTAATTGGTTGACAACCTCTTTCAATACTCTAACTTCTTCTTGGAGCATTTGCTCACGTTGACTTCTCTTCTTACGAGATTGCTTGGCAGCTAAGTTATTTCTATCTCTCTTTTCTCTATACCTGAAATGACACGATTACAAAATCATTTTTTTGATTATCTGCTCGCTCAACATCTTCGAAAGATGATTTAAAGATAATAATATGATTTATAAAATAATTTTTTTTTGATTATTTGGTTCTCATCACTTTTACTCGATCCTTACTCACTCGCCTTACCGTGTATGAGTGGAAGATGTATAAAAATATGAAGAACCTGAAAATGGATTAGATATGGGACAAGCAGTTGCTTGTCCAATTTATATTTTAATGTTCGAGAGACTCGAACGTTCAAAAGTAGGAATGATAAAGCATGTAAGAGTTAACAAACTTTTTAAGTTCTTCGGGGCTGAGTTTCGGGGAACCCGAGGAGGAAGAATTTGATCCGGAAGGTGTTTTTTGTCCACGATTCAACATATTTGAAGTACTAGAGGTGCTCGGGACATCATAGAATGGAGTTGTGTTTCCACAGAAAGAAGAGATCGGAGTATTATAATGAGACATCATAGGAGTACTGAAAAAGAAATGGGATAAGGGAAATGGATAAGCCGTGGCACTGAGTTTGCTACAGGCAGGGTGAAAAGTTTGAAACTTTAACCTCCCAATGGTAAGGTTACAACGCTAAAAGCAGATATGGGATGAATGAGAATTTGACCTCCCATCAGGCTTGTAAGAAAATCAGAAACATGACAATGCTAGGAGCAAGATGTTCGATCGTGACATCCTCTTAGCATTTACAACGTAATTTCGATTTCCGTTGAGTGATTACTACACTATTTAGATTAATATAGAAGCTAACATACTTATATGCGGTATAGTTAGGGAAAAGTTGTTGGGCTTCGAAAGAAGGCATAGTTCCATAGGAAGCGGAGATCATCTTGAAAGAATCTGGAAAGCATAGAGTTAGGAAGATGCATGATCACTCTGATAAATAAGCTCAGAATATATTACACAAGAAATAAAGAATCAAAACCCTAAAGGGAACTGTTAAACATAATTTCGCGCATGCGGTAAGTTGCGCAAGCGGCTGCCAGAGCATGAAGTGACGCAACAGCCATTGGCATGCCATGTCCTCAAACTGAGCTCGAAAGAAAGCAGGTCAAGTTGGGAAGTCCAGAGCGCGGGAGGATATGCAGATGGGGTCAGACCACACCCTACCTGTTGCGCGGAGAAATAGCGCGAAAAATCAGGATGTACTCATTGATACATCAAACAATAGAATTATGGATCTCCAAAAGTTACATAATCTATAACAACGAGCCATGACATACCAATTGTTTTTTCGAGATCGAGCCTTCGTAGGTCATGACTTAGTGAGTTATTAGGACAATCTAAGAGCTATCTAGGAGCCGACATACTGTGCAATATGTGTAAGTTATTTATGAGGAACCTAGTATATCAAGGTAGATATATTTTTAAAACTCTAGTAGAATGAAGAAAATCGTTTCTATTCCTTTCTATTATCCGGATATGGAAATCAAAGTTCCCCCCAAAGTTTATCGGTCTGTAGACCTCACTATCTGAAGGAATATTGCTTTATAGTCAAGAATTGTTTTGAAACAATATTTATGAGGAACCTAGTATATCAAGGGGGATATTCTTCTGAAACTCTAGTAGAATGAAGAGAATGAACAAAGATAGTTCAATCACTTTATGATCATTCCGTTTTCCCTGGAAACAACACTTATTATGAGTCTAGAAGTTTGATTCTTGAAAGCTGTGTACAAATGTGGGGGGAAGCAGCTTTGTCTTCAAATTCTCCATAAATGGGTTCTTCGTATCGCATTCCCAGTTTGACCATCTGATTTTTGGAGATGACTGATGCCTTAGCCACACCGGGATAAATTGATACTTCTTCATTCAACACCCAATGAGATCCAGTTTCCCTTACACAGTTTTATTAAAAGCTTCAATGCGGAAGTTCCCAATGTTCATCTCAACTTCTCCACTCATGAAATTACAAAATAATGCCTAATTAGGCAATGGCATTTGATATTAATACCAAGTAGAGAAACATCAAGCTTCATATTTCTCGTAGCATCGTTAACGACCCTTCTTATACCTTCCCGCACGTGCAATCAATTATCAAATTACTTCATGATATAATAAACAGCGAACTTTTAAATTTTTAAGACAACTAGTACATACCAGATGAAGCTGTATTATTTCAAAGCCGAATATTTATCGCAACATAAAACTAGTCGTTAAAGGGCGAGCGACAATTGGTCCCGACACGATTGTTCGGTTCTGAGCCACTTGTTCGGACCACGGCTATATTATGTAATAGAAATTTATTCAATATTATTGTATTAAATTTTAAAACTCAATATTATACATGATATCAAGTTTCATTAGTGTTTTTCAGAATAGGAAATGGCACAAGCTTCAGGAACAACTGTTACATTCAAGATTACACTAACCAGTGATCCAAAGTTGCCTTTCAAAGTGTAAGTAAATTCATATCTTCTACTCAATTATTGGTTTGCTCATAACATACTGTTTATTTAGTCTCTCTGTTCCTGAAGGAACTCCATTCACTGCTGTTGTCAAGTTCGCAGCTGAGGAATTCAAAGTAAGATAGTTTGGAATATTTGAATTGACTTATGCTTCAGGTAAACGCCGCTACATCCGCCATCATCACCAATGAAGGAGTAGGAATCAATCCTTCTCAAACTGCTGGAAACATTTTCCTCAAGCATGGAAGTGAATTAAGGCTCATTCCAAGAGACCGTGTAGGAGGATTTTAAGCATAAGTTTATAAATATGTCAGTTTACTTCTCTCTGTGATGCCTTTCTAATTTATTCTATTTATTATTCTATCTGTATTGTTTTGCTTTGCTGGGATTCGGATTGTCATAAATATTTTTTTCCTAATTTTGTCTTTGATTCTCATGTATAGTCATGCCTGTATCTTCTTAACTGTTCTGTTTCCATGCTTATCATATAGTTTAAGATGCAACTTAGTCCAGCTCAGAAAAACTTCATCAACAAGGCTACTGATATCGGTTCCGTTGCTATTCAATGGGGGTTCGTTCCTTTCGTCGTTTATCTTGGTTTCAAACGAGGATCTGATCCTTTACCTAATGGACAAGTAATTATTAAATCGAATTATTAATATTAATTACCCTATTCAGCTTGTTCCATTGACATTGATGAGCCTTTTATGGGGATAAATGATCTCGACCTCCTCTTGATTTTTGTTTAGAATATAGCCGATCTTAGTTGTTTTTGTTACTGAGCACTCCATTGTTACTCTATTTCGAAAAAATAAAATCTTTTTATCTTCGTTCTCACTTCATTATTTGGAACTCGGCGAACCAGGAAGAAGCAGTTGAGTGGGCGCATATTTGTCCTACCGCGAAAGCTGACCTTCAAAATTTAAATTTTGAAATTATTGGTGGTGCGTGCTATATCTAGTGCGAATTAGTTCTCAGCTGTAGAAAATGCGTTCTTTTGTAATATATGATAATATGGATGCTTGTAAACTTGGTCAATCGAGACTGAAAGATCACTACCCTGGAGTTCGTTGGATTAGGTTTCTTACGAACGATGGATATATCTTTGATATAGCTGCCCCATTGTTTCAATTCAGCACGGTCATTCAAAATATGTTTGAAGGTTGAGCACTCATATGAGTTTTCAGTTAAGAATTCATTTAAGGCTTACAATTAGGGACCGAAGTTGAACCATCTGACTGCTCAGAAGACTTTTCCGAAATTGTAACTAATGATATGCCTATTTGTCTCAATTTCGACGGAACTCACTTTGAAGCTGCAAGTTCCTATATGATACTCCCAGATAAATATTATTCTTCAGTTGTTGCAAGCTTTAGAATCTCTCTCCGCCCATACTCATCACAATCTATCGGATCATAGTTCGGACATTTTAATTTCAATGCTAAAGGCAAGTCTTCCCCCTGCACATTATTATAATTCGTATGAAATAGATAGCGGACTTTTTCGATGTTGAAGACTTGATAGTTTTGATAGTGAAGGAAATAGATTCAAGGATGTCGGGAAGCACACCAGACCAAATAAGGGAGAACTTCAACATCACAAACGATTTCAAAAAAGACGAATTGGATCAGGTTAGCATCACTTACTCTCTCGTTATAAATACGTAATTTCAGATAAAGAATGAAGGATTATGGACCTTCAATGCTCAGGTTTAACCTTATTTTCAAAATCTTTATTATCATGAACTTCTACAAGAAAATATAATTCTGTGAATAACAAAACTGCAATTCTGTAGTAAAAAGAATAAATGTTTTTTTCTTATTTGGTCAAATGAACAAATTCTTCGATCGCTCAATCTTCCTTTTGTTTTTCTTCGGGTTGACTGGATTTTGTACTCATATTGCTATCGTTTTCTAACGCTTCCATTGCTATAAAGCCCTCTTGATAGATTAAGAGGAAACCCAACTGTGATGTTACTTACCTATACGGATATCGGCATCATTCAGAGGAGTCATAGGATGCTCTTCTCTCGTGTTATTACCATGATCATCTCTTAATCTCTTGGTTGACGAGAATCTATCGAGATTACGAGGAGCAGAATTGTCCTAATGTAATAATGTCAAGAGTTATATATCATAATGCACTAACCCTTTTCGGTGTTCCATGGAAAGATATTATTGACGCTGATCTCGACAGCAAACGTCCAATACCAGTCTTATTCTCTGTTTCTTCCCTATAACCAATTACGTCATCTCAAAGCTCCCAATGGTATACAGACGGTTTGACTGGCACAATTTTCTCTCGTACAGATGTTTTTCGCAGCTGAGACAGTTGAGCAGATGATGGAGACAGAGGTATCATTCGTACTTGGGAAACAGATGAAGCCAATCTAAAGAAACACTAATATCAACACTTTTAAAGATATTCGTACTTGATATGAGCTAAAGATCCTTCACGTCTACTATATCTACGCTCATGGGCAGATTCCTCAGAATACAGAGGAACCCAATCGTCATCCCAGAAAGAGTCTTTTTGCATCTCAGGTGTCTTGCCATAACCTTCATCAACAATTTTCAAACCCATCTGAAAACATACTTTATAGTAATGTGAACTGTTTTGCTACATACAGCGAAGTTTCGGTCAATAAGCATATTAGTCTCGAAGTCATCATCATCTTCGCCCCAAGGGTTTAGTAGAGCTTCACCTATTTTCAGCCAACCCATATATAATACAAACTGGATACTTGTCATAAAAGGGAAAATCATGTCTATCTAGAATTGAAAATCTCAAATCAAATCTGCTTGAAATGAAACGTACTCCGTCGTTCTCATACTTTGAGCGATCCACATACTGACGAGCAATAACACAAACAAGGAAGTATGCGTGAACGGCGAAACAGACAATGGTGGGGTATATCATAGGCAAAGGCACCCAATCATAATTACAAAGCCAAGCTAAGTCAGTTCTAAACTTTCGGACTTCCTGTGAAATTTTTTCTTTATAAATGATTAACGATTAGTATAACCTCAGAGAGTATAGTTACGTAATAATCGCTCTCAATGAAGCCGTCTAAGCGTGCCCTTAAAACTAATTTGAAACCACAGAGCAATTTTCAGTGCAAACCTATAGATGAGTGCCCAAGCCCAGTTGAACGGTAAGAAGTATTTCGAATAACCGTACTGAATGTCGTCAAAGTTTTCCTTTTCGTGTGGCATCATGAAACCTAAAAACACATTTCATTTATATATGTTTATTCGAAACGAACCAGCAGCTGCTACAGTATCTAAAGTTGGAAACCGTTTACGACAAGGCATAGAAAGATCTCTAAATATAAGGACCTTCAAACTTGGGAATCAGATTGAAAAACAAAATACTAAAACACCTGTGTTAATTGGCAATAACGAACAATGTTTCTTCGGTACTGTCTTGCTCTCTCTGACACACCGCGGACATATAAAGCTGTCATCAAAGCAATACTGTAATGATGATTAAGTTTTGATTATGAGGCACAGCCTTACTTATCCATGAATCCTATGATGTTATACAAATACCAGAAACGAGTGAGAACGGCTGCGATGAAAAAACCTAACATCCAATCAAGTGGAATATAGTCCATTCGTGAGTTTGTAAAATCGACTAGAGCTTCAAAAATTCTACAAAGATGAACTTGCAGTGTTTGCTTGAATATGAAACTAACTTTCGCTGATTACCATTAAGTATAAACCTGTATACTAAAGAAAATACTCCGAACAGCACAAGCCATGTGATGTACTGCAGGTAGACAGCCCTCCAAACAGACCCTTTCCATCTGTAAGATATGAATAGTAACAGAATCAATAATACTCGGAATCTAAGCATATGCAACCGCTTCACACATTTAATATTTTAAAATGACATTCATGACGTACGCAATGGCCGTCGAAGTTCACGTCAATATGACGTGTTGTTTAAAATATGAAATTTGAATACCTAAATAATATTAAATTCTCATCATTTTTTGAAATGAAAAAATTAAGTTGTAACAAGTGAGGACGTCAATGTTTCATGGCTACTTAAGAATTCGGTGTTTGACCTATGAAAGAGTGAGTGTTCACCATAGTTTCCGTGATTCGTAAGATTACATGAGATGAAAGAATGCATAAAAACTTCCAAAATGTTTCGAAATTATTGAGAACAGCTGAGGAAGTATCATATTCAATCTAATAATAAAGATTTCTAATCAAGTTACTCATATATTGCGCGATTTTCATCTTTTCAAGTTTTTAATTAGAAAAATTATGTTTACTCACTATAATAGGCTTTTGATACGTTTTCAGTTATGAACGTACTACTAATACTACTCATTCCTTTCTTTTCCTCTTTCATTAATCTCCCTCTCTTCATCTAGTGTGACTTGAGAAAACAAAGTTTTTTTTTTGGCAAAGAGAGATATATATTTGAGGCAAAAAATAATATTTTGATTCAAACTGATATACTTAACATAGAAGGAAATGATTAAAAATCGTTGAGAAAATTCTTTGAACTAACCGAAAAAACAATCGCATGAACGTCCATGGTCGAGACGTTGACACAGAGAGATTATAGCTGACCGTCATTTTTCGAAAGACACATATAAGTCAGCTGTTTCACTTTTGAGTCTCAAGCAGATATTATAAAAAATAAAAATATTTCCTTGTTTTAGTTAGAGTTATAACAGTCGATGTTCAGATGAGGGCAAATAGCGAACTGGAATTTTGACAATACGCTGGTTTGAATTTTTGTTTCTCAACTCCTGTCCGTTCTATGATTTCGTTGGAAAAGTTTTGGAGTTTCAGTCTTCACCCATAAACTGTACAGAATAGCATGTTATATGAAGAGGATTAGAGAAACACTGTTCTTCAATATGGAAATCGGCTTTGATTGTGTCGGTGAACAGTCGCTCGCCATTTTATGATTCCTGATATCAACGTTGTTGAAAAAAAGGCTTTTTTTCCCCGGAAATTTGATTATCCTATCCATTCGTTGAGGGAGGAGGAACAAGCATTAGTGGGAATTAGAAGGAAGTCGCATGGGGAGGTCGCGGATTGAAGGAATCAAAATCTCCCGTGTTGAGGAAGTAAAAGTGAGAGCGAAAAATCTTACTTAAGCAAGAACATGCTTGGTTTCGTATTTATTAACAAAGTTTTTATGATTATCATCCAATATTTAAAGTTGTTCTTGCCCTTCGGCTATATTGGGGTGTGGCAATGGGTGTGGCTGAGCAGCTTATATAGCATATAAACGAATGGGGGGAAAGACAAGAAGCAGAAAAAAGCTGCTCTTTAAATTCTTTTTATTTCTCTTCTTTTTTTTTCTTGTAATATTTATAGAATGAAAAAAACAAAATACAAAATGAATGCATGAAGAAGATGTTAGCTGCTTCAAAGATATTTTCAACCTGAATGCCTAATAGGGGACTCAGCAGAAGACGTTTTTACGTTTGATATTCTTGTATCCTCTTTGCTATGTCTGTTGCCGAACAAAGTTTCAGGGTGGTTTCTTCTGCCTTTCGCTTTCAATTCTGATCAATCCCCAGATCATTTTCACCAGCTTCTCCACAAAGAAGAATGTCTTCCGCATTCAGAATGTTCAATGTCGTCTAGTTTCAAGACTCTCCCCCAGCATCATATGTTTGTTCAAAAATGAACAAAAAAAAAGAGTAAAAGTGTTAAATTGGTGTTTCCCTCATAGGTCAAATCACATGATTATCTTCGTTTAATTTGGTCGAATTATCGCTGAAAACAAGGAAAACATTTGACTTTGACGGCCGGCCAACTTTGGGCTTATCCCTTTCTCTCTCTCTCACCCTCTCTTTCTCTCTCTATCATTAATATAGAATGTGTGGTTAGAGATTTATATATATGAAAAATGAGAGATAACTATACAATCCATTTTTTCACCTGGTAACCCCTATCTTCCTCCGCTTCTCTCTCTGTATAGAATTGATCCAGTTCTCTCTCTCTCTCTCTCTCTCTCTCTCTCTCTCTCTCTCTCTCTCTCTCTCTCTCTCTCTATGTTTCTCTCTCTCTCTTGAAAGATTTGTCACTTTCCTATTTCTTTATCATTCATTACATTGTGTGTGAATGTTTGCCTACCACTCTTACTGGTAACACAACTCATTTAACATATTTTCAATTGTTCGACTTTTGTTTTTCTTCTTATCTCTCTCATTTCTTACAAGTTTTGGACTTATCGTTTACACTTTTGTGAAAAAAAAACTGCTCGTGCCGTGCATTCGAGGCAGTCGAGGCAAAGAAGAAATAGAACAGAAGTAAGGAAATAAGAGAAAGAGAGTTACGGAATGAATGCACTCTTTGTCTTTCTCAGCTGAACAGTCGAAGATCTGTTATCAACTATAGCGACATTGAAGTGTCGAATAATGAATAAGTCGTATTTTCGTTGTAGGACCTTAAAAGTCCAGTCGAATAGTTCGAGTGAGATCTTTTGAATGCCATTGTTTTCATAATTCCGTCGTTATGGTTCTTCTAACGTTCGAAATTGTTTGCTCATTCATGGATCTTTGCTTCGAAGTTTAAGCTTTAAACTTTTAAAGTGAATGTCCATGTCTGGAGGTACCTTCTGAAGGTGTGTATAGTTTGTGATTCAGAAAGTCTATTAGACAACTCGGAAATAATACCTACAGAAGTATAAAACTAATTGAGCATGAGAGCACTTTGTTTTTGAAGCTTATGCAAACATCTTGTTGTCTTTCAACCAATAGCCTAAAGCTGACTGAGAAGATATATTTCAATGGTCATCCAGAAGACGTTTTGGTCTTAACACGAACTGCAAAACAACATCATTACATTTGTCATTTTTTTCTTTTCAGTCAATTAAAATCAAAACAATGCTTTGAATGTCTATTTGCCAGGATTTTCCTAACTTGTCTAAGTCGTATGATTTGCTTTCTGATTCTTACACCATATATAGGCATTTCATCTCTCGAACTCTTTGATCTCTTTTGTTCTGCAGCAAAGCTTCATCTTACAACTTTTCGCTCAATTTACAAGCACATTTCTCACTATGGAAATATAAATAAATCTATGAAGCTTAGACAATCCTTTATTGTAATTTAAACTATTGCATCAACGACTGACTTCTTCCGTCTCTCATCGTTTACTCACAACTTCATTTATCACAAGTTTGTTTTGGCTTTTCGAAAATCAGAATTTGTAGCAAAAAAAATCTTTTACTCCCACTCTTTCTCTCCATTTCCCTCTCTATCTAATGTCTTCTTCAAAAAATAAACAACAAATTGTTTAAAAAAAGAAAAGAGAATCGTTTATTCATAAAGAATTGTAAAATTCAGCCTATTATCCATAAATGGGAATGTTTCGCTCAGGTACCGAAAGCCTTTGCATGAGCTTCGAGGCGTACAAGAACATCTCAAATGGCAAGTGCGAGGTTCTGCTCTTCATTGCCACTATTCTCGTTGTAGTTCTCTCATACTTTTTTCATTCGTTATTCTACCCTCTCCTTTTCTCATCTTCCCTCCCTCACTGTGCGTATCTTCCTCCCTCTCTTCCTCCCTCCTACTCTCCCTACCTCCCTCTCTCTTTCAAGCTTTTAATACCAAGAAGAAAAGATATTTTTTTTCTGTGAAAAATAATTCTTACAAATGAATTAGTTATTTAAGAGAAGAACAATATAATTATAATTACGCTTTAATAACAACCAAACTCATTTCAATTGGAATTATCTTAAGAGTTTTCAATTTTTAATTAAAAGATCTTTCATCTTCGAAATGTTCAATTATAAGTTTTCTCCCTGCTTTTTGAGATAAGCTTCTCAGTATCAGAAGCTATATGAAAAAAAAAGATCTGAACATTAGCATAAACACGTGAAATGAAGTTCCACGTGCACGCATCTAAGAATTCCATTTTTATTTTAATCTGCATACGCATGAACGGTTGACTATGTCTCTGCTCGGTGCATGGCTGCTGTTAAAAAGACAATCACATACACACATACATTTCCTTTCTTTCTCTTTCTCTTTTTCTCTCTCTCTCTCTTTAAGTCTCTCTTTCTCTCTCTCTCTCTCTCTCTCTCTCTCTCTCTATCTTTATTATTTAAATTAAATTATTATGCTTTTGGGGTCTCGTAACGAAAATTCTTTCATTTTTTGAAAGCTTCTGTCGATGAAGTCAGAAGTTCATTCAACCATACTTGTAATTCTTCATTTTTCTAAAGAAGACTTAAGTAATTTACTCGTGACGTGAAAAGAAGAGGAAAAAAAACTTTTTTTGTTCCAAAAATCCAAAAAGAAATGTGAACTTTGAGTGAATGATCTTATTAAGTTCGAGTATGAACTTCATTACTTCAATGATAACTGTGTTTGGAGAAAAAAAAAATTTTCTTTCCTCGTTCAATCTGTTAGTCTCACTCTCCCACAGTAATTAACTTTATTTCGCTCCTAATCATCCTCTTTAACTCTCTCACTCATAATCACATTCTTATTCTTTCTCTCTTAAACTTTTTTTTTTTCAAACCTCTCAATCACTCTCTTTATCTCTTAGTCTCTTTATCTCTTCTACACACTCTCTCTCACTCTCTCTCTATCTATGAGTGTCTTTCAAATATACATTAAAGATCAAAATTAGGAATAAAGTACCTTCTGAAGTAGAGCAGAAAATGAAAGGACAAACAATATTTCATTTTTGGGGTGATCTTTTAATATTTTGCGAGTCTCATATTACATTTGGAAGTCAGGTAAAAGATTTGTGTCATTAGGTAATCATCTTCAGCTTGAACCTCATCCCACGTATGACGTCACATCCTCCCTCATACAGCCTCTCATTCTTCTCTCTCTTCATATTGCTCGTGACTTTCCTGTGCGTCTGCATGAATTCGAAGAAAACTGAATATGTTTGTAGAAATTCGTCGAAAAGTAAATCTAGCTCAGAGTATGTTTGGGCATGTGAATAAAGACCTTTAGATCTATTGGCTTTGGCTCATTTTCCAGTGATGAAGCGAAATATAATATAAATTTAATAGAGAAAATAATATTTTTAATTATTATAAATTTAGATTTTCTCAGTAGTACATGCAAGGCGTATATTCTGGGCAATTCCGTCCACAACTCAAATCTCATTCAATGATGATGATGATAGTTTCATGGAAATTCACATCTACACACATACACATCCTCCTACGTTTACCAAGGATTTGGGTGTATGTGTGTGTGTGTGTGTGTGTTATACCTCACGCCTATTTCTTCTTCATTCTCTCCTAGTGCTACGTCTTCGTCTTCTTCTACTTCTTCTCTTTCACATCCTGAAACAGACTGCCTTCTTAAGAGCTCTCCCATCACATACTATTTCAAAAACCTTTTTCTAAGAGAGCATATGTTCAAATGCAAGCAAAGGCTGGTTCGGATGCACACTTTTTGTACTCGACCTTATTATCTTTTCATTTACTTTCATTTTTGTTCGTCGTTCAGCTTTCAATACTTTCAAACCTTCCGAAGCATGTCGTTGACCGAGGTTCAATATGCTCCTACATTCTTACTTCCGGCCGCAATGGCTTTCCTCCTCCTTTTCTGTGTGCAGGGAGTCGGATAGCGTGATCTCTAGCCTTG